GAACACCACTGAATAAAGAATTCGAGAAGTGTGGTTTTTGATAATATTATCGAGAAACATAGAAAGATATTAGAGTTGGAGTAGAGGAACTTGAAGAACTTTCTCGAGAAGCTGGTTTCTCAATAACTTTATACGTAATTGTACTTAACAAGGAGAACTCGAATGCTAATCTATAAATGGGAAAAATGTGTTTAGAAAAGAAATGCTTTGGGAACTAGTATGCCTTATCTAGCATTTCAGTTCTCAATAACCTTATTGATAAAAAATTTTCTCAATAACTTTATCAAGAAACTAATGAAATACTTTAAGAGGGGCTTCTTAGATAAAAAAGATCAAAACTTGATTTCCTTGTCGAGAAATGCATTTCGCCATAATGAGTTTGATAAACATTTTTCTCGATAAGTTTATCAAGAAATAGCGAAGAGAGAATTTTGAATTTGTTAAGACCAACTTCTTTGAAGGAACTCGAGTTGTTTCTTAAAAAACATCTGAAGTAATTTTGAATAGTTTAGTTGAAAACTTGATAAAGAACTTGATAAAGAATGAGAATTGAAATCATTAATGTATATTCTTGATAAGTTTATCAATAAAATAGATCCTCTATAAGGAACTCGATAAATCAAACTTTTTCCTTATGTTTTGTTCAAGAATGCTGAAACTCAAGAAACTCAAAAGTAGAAAATCTTATTGAGAAAATATGACGTTAAACAATTTTGGGAAACTAGCCTTCAATACCTGAGTAGGTTGTCCAGAATGTAGCTTATTGATAGCCTTATCAAAAAAGTTCTTCAAAGACAAAAATTTGAAAGTAAAATAAGATAAACCATTCATTAAAGTATTTTAACTTAATAAAGTAAGAGTGCCTTTATCATCATCAAAACATAGGTACTAACATCTCCCTCCTATTTGTGAAGGTGATGTGATGCCTTTCAATTTTAGATTGGATTTCGCATCTTTCACTTCATACAAGAATGAAGATGAAGATGGTGCTTCAAGAATGGTCACTAGTCCTAAAAATGATTCATGCTTCCTTGAGTTTAGTGCTCCAACTCTTGATGATTGTGTTGACATGAGAATGCTGCCTACTTGTATTGACAATGCGTTCCATGTTGCTAGTCACATGCACTTGGATTCTCTTGAATTGCTTGAAGATGACTTTACATACATTGACAAACATACCCTCTTGCTAGATAATGTCAAGCATATTCATGATCCTTACTCTCAAATCCTATCATGTGACTCATCTTTTGACATATGAGGATTTGATGATAATGACGTTGGTTTTGATTTGGTTGATGTTTTGAATGATAAAATAGCGCTTGACTGTGATGTTATTATTGAAAACAACCAAGTTCATTACGATATACCTACTGTTGCATGCTATGTTCCTACAAATGATGTGATTGACTTTGTTGGTTATAAGAAGCACTTGTTATCGAAAGAGCCGACTCTAGTCTTCTCATATTGCATGCTTCACTTGGCCACTACATCTGCACTAATTCTTTCCGCTGATTTAAATATTTTGATTCATGTGATATGCTTGGAGTACGTACTGCCAAGGACTCAAGCTTACAACATTAGGATGAACTCGGAACATTAAGATTCAACTACCAAGGGCTTTGAAAAGAGACCACATTTGCTGGAACTTGACAGTTGTTGCAAATGGTGATTTAACAAACTGGCCACCAGCGAGAAATTCCTTGAAAGTTTTGATTTTGATTTTGATGTTGGGGGTTGTTGTAAGAGGGCCTACTTACCATATTTAAATATTTTCATCACATCACTTCGTTGGACTGTCTTTTTGCAATAATAACATTGCTAATAATAATAACAAGAACTACCTTCTAATCATTCATCAGCCCGACATATAAAAGTTAGCCAAAATATCATTACGATTTTTTTGACGGCAAGTTATGATTTGTTTAACAAAAATCACTAGATGAAGATGCTACTAAGGTCCCTATTATAAAATAATTTACAGAATAATTGAGTGATTCTTATTATAAGTAATCAAATATAATATTAATTGAATTTTTTTAAAGATGGCCTCTATTTAAAGTTTGATGCAATTTTTGTTTTTATTAATTCATAATTTTAAATATGGGGAAATTTTTTTGTTTCAAACAGATTTAAATGATTAAATTTCATCTTAATTCTTAATGAGATAGTTGGATGTGCTTTTATAATGAGGATGAGAGGGTTTACACTATTTACAAATTTGGGAATAGCATTTTTTGATCTAGTTCATGCAATTTTTGAGAGTGTTAAAAAATGAATGATCAAATGTTAAATATGAAATATTTATCTTATATATAAGCATATTCGTTATGTTTTCTTTTCTTTGAAATGGCAATTGAAGTATTCATAAACAATTTTTTGGTTGTGACTTACAAAATAAGAGATAAGTATACAAATGGAGTTTTGTCTCGCATTATCTGAAGGTGCTAATATTAAGCGGATCCAAACAATTACTTAGACTCTCACAAATAGAAATTTGCAGTGCAGTAATGGTGATTCACTGATTATCGTGGCCTAATTTTCTTTTTTTTAAAAAAAAAATTGATTATCTTGATATGCCTTCAGAAATATTTTGTGGTTGGCATCATAAATTATATATACAAAGAAGTCAACTTACGCATAGCTTTTTTAAAAACTTTTTTTTCTCGGTAAATTTACACAATTGAGTATTTATCGTTAATTAATATATTATTTTATAATTAAACATGAAATTGAAATCAGGAATTTGTATAATCTCATAATCCTCTTTCTCCTTTCTATTTTAGAATTCCTTCACCTTTATATTTAAAAAATGAACGGTTTAGATGCAATACCATAAAAAATATGATTATAATATTATTAAAATAGAAATAAACAAAAACAATTAAATTTAATCTAGACAGCTCATACCTATAGTATAAAAAAATTAATTTATAAAATAATTTTATAAAAATAGTATATCTAAATGATTTATTTTTTGATCTAAGAGTAAAGAAGGGATTTTGAGAAAGACGACAAAGAGGATTATGAGAAGATTTTGACGTGCCAACTAGATTATACCAGCTGAATTTCATAACATTAATATCATTTACATGCATTCCAAAATTCAAAAGAAGTTGCATGTAGTTAGGCTATTTAACCTTAAACTTTTCTGACCCAAAAAAAAAAAACCTTAAACTTTCCCGAACATCAAACGTAATTCATATAACCTTTTTAACCTTTTAGAATTAATAATAAACTTCCGTATCTTTTAACTCTATGTAGCTAACTCTAAACTATATAAATTTAATATCCTTAAACTTTGTTCTTGTATACATAACCCCCCTCAAAACTTGAATCATATGGAGATAAACTCCTTAAACTTTGAGTCATTTATAGATAAATAATAAATAAAACTAATAGTATATAAGTTATCTGCATAAAAGTAAAAGTGATGTAAAACAGAAAAGAGAAAGGGGAAGAGAAGGAGATCAGAGAAGAATATTAGAGAGAAAAGGAGAGCAAAGATGAGAGTGGGAATAGAAGAAAACTATCTGATACGTCAAAAGCCAAGTCTGCTTACACGATAGAAACCTAGGGTACTTATAACCTAATTTTAAATAAAATAATTAAAATGCAAAATCAATAAATGGATTAGTGGGTAGTTAACAAAATAAATAACTAACAAAAGAAAATTAATTAATTAAATCTACATCAAAAAGTTTATGAAGGTTTATTATAAAGTTTCAAATGTTAAGAAGGTTGTTTTATAAATAATATAAAATTAAAGGAAATTTCACATTTGGATGTTAAAGAGATTACTTATACATTACTCAAGAAAAAAAAAAAACAGTATGTACCAACAAATTTATAGTCTTCATGGTAAATATATGAGGATTTACTCTGGAGATTTCGAGCTCAAAATTTTAATGATCAAAATTTGAAGTATATGCAGATAAACTCTTTAAACTTTGAGTCATTTGTAGATAAATAATAGATAATAAATAAAACTAATAGTATATTAGTTATCTGCATAAAAGTAAAAGTTTATAGTCACATGAGAATTTAATTTGGAGGTTCCGAGCTCGACACCAAAAAACATTATGCAATACACATCAATTGCGAAATTGCAAATATCTAAAAAAAACAAAAACAAATGAAAATTTGCAGCAACAAAAAGGTTTCTGCCAAAGACGCATTGAATGCTAGCTTTCCTCATAGACCACAAATAGAATGATCGTAGTGTTGGGCAAGAGTCCAATATGAATTGAATTTTTTTTTTTTTGGGTCCAAATATGAATTGAATTTGAATACTGCGAAGTTTACAATGTTATGCACCATTTATAACATAGATGAATCATGCAGCGATTTTCCTTTTTTTTCCCCCCAACTTTTATGGTGTGACATGCATAATCATTAGACATTAAGGTATTGAAATTTCGACTAATCATTAAAGCCATTAAGATAATAGTTATAATCTAACTGGAATTAAGTTGAAATCAACCCAATTAAAAGGAAAATAATACTACATCTGATCTTTAATATAAAATCCAATTGACTAATTTGAGAAGATTAAGAAAGCTATTAAATTACTTTAAAGAATTTATATTAATTATTTTTTTCAAACAATTTGACTCGCTTATAAATTGATATATAGTTTAATGATACATATAAGTATTTTAAAAATATCAGGTAACATATGTTATAATTAAGTAATTTAATAATTTTCTTAATCTTTTCAAATTAGATAATTGGAGTATGATATTAATTAAAATATATAAAAATATTCATATATGATCCTAAAAAGGATAATATTTAAATAAAAATATATTAATTTTATAACTGAATCGAATATTTATCTATAAATCATACATAATCTATTTATTAATTTATAAAATTTGATGAACTATTATTTTTAGAGAACAAAACATAAAATTAAACGTTGAGCTATACCTAAAAATCCACCATCGACGAAAGTAGTTCACTGTGCAGGATGGGTTTTAGTTGCGAAATTTATGGCTTAGGACGAGGGAGAGAATAAAAATTTCTGCCAATAAAAAGTTTCAGACAAATACGGAATCAATACTAGCTGTCAGGATTAGACCATCATAATTCGTCAGAACGATGATGTTGTTAAGAAAGAATATGAAAGATGTTACCATTTGATTTGGGAATTGATAACTCTCCAGGTTCGGATCTCTTGTGAACACGAATTTTCCAGGAAAACGAATCAAATCACTTTCATTCCGATCGCACTTTCCTCTTCTCTTCTTTCCCATTTTCTTTCGACGATATTCCAATCTCGACTTCTTCGTCCTCATCGTCATCATCTTCACTGCTCCTCAATATATCAGCAACCAACAACAGTCTTCCCTGATTGGATTCATTCCCATTCCTCTCCGCCAAATTCCCTGCAAAACCGACCTGAATTTCCTGTTCAGAACCCTGAATCACTATCACTGTATCGTTCCTGTACTGGTATTCCAACGCAGATACATTCACGCTGTGTGTTCGCGAAGCCTCCTGGGACTGAGAATTCTCTCTTTGATTCGGTAAATTACCAGAAGAAGACGACGAGCAAGTGTTGGATATGACGATATTGGATCTGCATAGAGGACAACTCGAATGCGATCTCAACCAAGTGTCGATACAAGGAAGATGAAACGCGTGGTTGCATTTAGGTAACAATCTCAAGCTCTCGCAATCTTGAAATTCGCTGAGACACACAGAGCAATCGGTACCTTCGACTAATCCATCTCCTTTCTTGTACTTACGGACTGTGATTGATCTGATGATGGCTTCGTCTAAGCCGCCGGTATTGGCGGAAGAAGAGGAGGCTTGAATCGCAGACTCGTCATTGTCGTTTACCCATTGGTTGGTGTCGTTTTGGTGAATTCGATTTCGTCTTGTGCAGAATCGAGAGATGATGGTGTAGTAAGTGATTAAGACGAAAGCACTTGCTAGGATGCCGATGAGAGCGACTATGAGGGGAGAAAGCCGGAATGAAGAAGAAGAAGAGTCTTCGTCACCCGCGGTGGCGGCAACTCCGATGGCCGTGAGGGAAGGTGAAGGAGGAGGAGGATAAATGACGGAGCACCATTGAGGGCAATAGAAGCTGCAGATTCCTTGAGAACAATCTCGAAGAACAGCATCTGCAGGCGTCCATGGATTATATGGGGTGTTCAGGAAAGAAGAACCCATGATCTGAAATCAATCATCAGCTCTTAAGTGTGTGATTTTGGATTTATGAGAAGGAGGAGGAGAGAGAGAGGAAGGGAAAGTAGGTGGTGGGCAAGGGAAGAGTAAAGGAAGACATGTTTTGTTCGTCATGGAAGGAATCATGAGACGCAAAGTTGGTGGAGCAAAATCAGTGAGTTACATCAATAACTCTTCTGAATTATTACTTTGTGTTGTTGACGTTGATTTGTTTATTATAATAAAGTAATACTTATTTTTGAAGGTGAAGCTGATCTTCAATTGTTTGGATGTGATTTCAAGGTTTGTTTACAGAGGAAGGTGATGGCTCAATGATGAAGTAGGAAGTAGGCTTTGCTTGGTGTCCATATGAGCGGTGGCCGGTGCATTACAGGTGAGGGTCGGTACATTATTTGGTTGACGTTGGAAAATCATTATTATTTATTAATTTTTTCTTAAAAATATTGATGATAGTTCTTAAAATTATTATTTATATCTTAAAATTATAACACTGCCGCAAGACCTGAAAAATCATGCTACGATGTTAAAATCAATAACAACATCTTTAGCTAATGGTATCATGATCTCCCAGTATAGAAACTCTTGATATAGTCGATGTCAGATTCATCACACTTATAATTTTACTTGCCTTTTTAATTAAAAAATAGCATCTATGAAAAAAAAAAGTGTTACTAATTTACAAGAAAAATCAGATTTCAGTCCAAAAAAAGTGCGAGTCATGACTTTATGTTTTTTTAAAAAAAGATTATTTTAAGACTACATAAGTTTTTACAATTTTTCCCCGAAATATTGTTTTGTGCTAGGGGAACTGGATATTTGTTTAGATTGGTGGATAGAACTGAACAGAGAAAAATAAAAGTAGTGTCCGCTAAAAAATATATTTTTCCCATATACCGGCTAAAAAGCATATACAGGTAAAATTAAAATACCACCTTCGGTCCTTAATATAAGAAATAGTTTACTAATTTAAGTATATTAAAAAAATTAATTAATTTAATTATTTGTAATAAATATATGTTGTCTTTTTTAAAATATTCTTACTAATTAAGTGTATTAACTAGAACTACTATTATTACAATGACTATTTTAAAAAAATAGATAAATATAAAAAATAAAATAGATTGTGGCCTAATATTTAAAATAAAAATAAAAATCAAATTGGTTTTTATATTAAAGATATGAGGTAGTATCAGTACGTGTCATGGTAATTATTTTGTTTGTTTTTTTTTGGTACGTTGTTTCCTTCTTTCATTTTAATGCAGTTGACTTTCCTATTAAAAATTTAACACTTTTTGTAAACTAATTTAGGGAGTGTTTAGATAAAATCAAAATCATGGTTAGTGCACTAAGTAAATATGTGAAAAAATTTGTGTCGTTTTACGAAAAAGTGCTTCTAAGAAACACTTTTTGAGTGCTTGCAAACACCTCCTTAATTATTAATCACAATTAAAATTTAAGAATTATATTTCATATCATTTCTAATTTTTAAACAAAGATACATGGGGGAGTGTTATGAGCACATAAAGTCACGAAATCACACGGGGTCTCTCAGAAGCCCCTCACGTGCGAGGTTACCACTCCCACGTGCATGTCACGCGCAGATGTGTTCATAGATGTATTTTTTGTGTGTTTTTTTTTGGACCAGGGTGTTCATAGCTATTTGGGCCTAAAGGGTAGGCGTAGCCTTATATCTTAATGTTATCAATTCTTACATTACCTTCGATCCTTAATATTAGACCTCATTTGATTTTTATTTGGTCTTAATTATAAAATCCTAATCTATTTTATTTCTCATATTTATGTATTTTTTCAATATAGTTCCTCTAATAATAGTAGTTTTAGCCAATAAATTTGATTATTAAATATATTTTAGAAAAGACAACACTTATTTATTACAAATAACTAACTTAACTTATTTCTTTAATCTCCTCAAATTAGTCAACTAGCTCTTATAATTAGGACCGAAGGTAGCATAATTTTATCAACTGAAATTGGATATGGTGAAATGCACTAGGAAAAATTGCAATCAGGTCATCACTGAAGAGAATTAAATACAAAAAATCTCTTAAAATTATCAAATTATTTTAAAGTCTCATAGGACCTCATTGCAAGAGATTTTATTTGTTTAATTACCAAAGTGCTTTATTTTTTTTTTTGAATGTATGCATTGACAACTGAGAATGCAGTCATTAACAATTTAAAATGTAAGGATTAACAACTATCGCGGTAGCTATTGAAAACTTATGCATTATATTTTTATGATGCGCTGAGAAAATGTGTTGTCAATACATGTCATGATAGTTGTTTATCGTTACACTTTAAGTTGTTAATAACTGTTCTTTCAGTTGTTAATGCAAAGTTAAAAAAAGGGTCATTTGGTAATTAAACAAATAAAATATTTTGCAATGAGATCTCTTAAGACTTTAGAATAATTTGATGATTTCAAAAGATTTTTTTATATTTAATTTTCTTGGGTGGGATTTTATTGCAATTTTCGTAATGTACTAATGCCTCACAACATAGCGAATCAAGCTTTGGTTCTTGTGGAGCTTACATTTTGTATTTGATAGTACTTCTACTAAGAGAATACTTATGTGGAGCCAAAAAAAAAATCTTATACCACTTTTTAATTAATTTTTTTAAGTTACTTCCTCAATTCTTAGTTCTTACACATGGGAAATTTTTTTGGAGTAGATACCTGCTTTATTTATAAGATAAACGTACAGTATATTTTGAACTGATTTTTTTAAAATTTTTTTGCTCTCCTTAATTTCATTTTACATCATTATATTAATCCTCTCTCACCCTCTTTCAAATTAAGATATTCTTGAAAAAAAATGTAATTTTAATACATTTATTGTATTTAATTAATTTTAACTAAAATTTGTATATTTACCAAAGACTCTTAGGTCTAATGGCACCATACCCTCCTGAGAGTTCGGATTCTCTCCTTTACCACTTCCATTCGCTGCTGTCTGCTGCCACAGAGTGACCCTTTTTTTTTTTTTTTTAACCAGAACTTCCAGGAGAGCAAGCCTGTGGAAATGACTGAACGAATCAGAGTAGAGAAATTAATGACACACGAGTGAGGGAAAATAGCCTTGTACTAGCACGTGGTGGCCGGTGTGTGTAGTCTTAATAAATGAATAAAGATTTTACTTCATTCTCACTAATTTATTTCATCTAAGTCAAGTGTATTTAATAAAAATTAAGGTAAAAGTAGAAAACATATTGTTTGAGGTTTTATGTTGTAATTTTTAAGACATTTTACTATTTTAGTACAAATTTAAAAATAATTAATGTTTTTATTCTGATAAATACAAAATATGTTTTAATACTCTTAAAAAGATAAATAAAAAATTACTTAATCCTCACTAATTAACTTGCCCCATATACTCAATCAATCAATATCACCAATCAATGTGTTACTCCTTTTTGTACATTTTATAAAAGGTCTTTTAGAAGGTATTTTTGTTAATTTAATAAGATATTTTGATAGTCCTATTGTTAAAATATTTTCTTCATGCATGCTCATATTCAATAAAGGTAATGAGAGAGTTTAAATTAATAAGATTTTGGAATTTAATGTAATTAATAAGGGTGATACTAGAAATCAGTTGAATTTTATGACAAATTTAATATTTTTAATTAGTATGTGTCACTGAAGCTATCAAAAGGTCTTATAAAGTGGACAAAAATATCTTTTAGAAGACTTCTTATAATATAGACAAAAAAGAGTAATACATATTGATTGATGATATTAATTAATTCAGTACACCATTCCATTAATATTTATAAAGAATTTGTAGGGAAAATTGTTTCTAAATATAAGTTATTTGCAAGGTAATTAATGATTTTTTTTAAAATTTTACTCCTGTTGACTTAATAAATGCAGAGACAGACAAAGCAAATAGGTGAGAGGAAATGCAACACATATTTTTAATACTCTTTCTATCATAAGGGCAAATGTGAGAAAATTATCAATTTAATGCATTTATTGGTTTGTGAGCTTGGGATACAAATAACTTATAAATAAGAATGGGGCAAGTTAATTAGTGAAAGTTAAGCAATTTTTTTATTTAGCTTCTTAAGAGTAACAAAGCATATTTTTTATTTATCAGAATAAATACATGAATCATTTTCAATTTTTCCCTTAAAATAGTAGAATATTTTAAAAATAAAATCTTTGAAAAAAAAAGTGTTAATAATTTATATTTCAGGATGTTACAAGAAAAATCAGATTTCAGTCCAAAAAAAAGTGCTAGTCATGACTTTATTTTAAAAAAAAACGATAATTTTAAGACTATATAAGTTTTTACAATTTTTTTCCCAAAATATTGTTTTATGCTAGGTGAACTGGATATTTGTTTGGATTAGTGGATAAAGCTGAATGGAGGAAAAAAAAGTAGTGTCCACGAAAAAAGATATTTTTCCCATATGCCGGCTAATAAGCATATATAGGTAAAATTAAAATATGTTTCATGGTAATTATTTTGGTTTTTCTATTTGGGTACGTTGTTTCCTTCTTTTAATGCAGTTGACTTTCTTATTAAAAAATTAACACCTTTTGTAAACTATAAGTTTTATGCTATGCATTTGTATAATAATTTAAATTTAATTATTAATCACAATTTAAATTTAAGAATTATGTTTCATATCATTTCTAATTTTTAAACAAGGATACATGGGAGAATGTGATAAGCATAGACAATCACAAAATCATATGGGGTTTGCTTGATCCATGCTGCGGCACACGTGCACATTCTATACTCATCAAGATGATGAACAGAGAGTGGTCAGCACTCAAAACGTCCAGTAAGGTATCTTTACTTTTTTTATTACAAAGAAAATCATATGTATTAGAATTTGAGTGCTGAGCAGTATCGTGAGGTCCTTTTCTTTTGCTAAAACAATTTATATATATTAGAACTATTTTTTTGTTAAGGTTCATGTAACACTCTGAAATATTTTTTCAGGTGTATTCAGTATTTCAAAATATTTTATGATTCATTTAATATCTTAAAATATTTTTTATGTGTATCTAGTGTCTTAAAATATTTTTTTTATTTTTTTGCTTTAGTTTTTCTTCTTTTTTCCCTACCAAAAAAATGTATATGTATTAAAGTTATTTTTGGTTAAGATTCATTTGGCAC